GAAAGGAGATCTGAGCAAATGTGAGAATTACAGAGGCATCACACTGTTGTCTGTACCAGGAAAAGTTTTCAACAGAGTGTTGCTGAACCGGATGAAAGACACAGTAGATGCCCGACTTCGACATCAACAGGCTGGATTCCGTAAGGATCGGTCGTGTATGGACCAGATCGCGACACTACAGATCATCGTTGAACAATCAGTTGAATGGAACTCGTCACCATACATCAAAATTCCCTGACTATGAGAAGGCGATTTACAGTGTGGACCAGACAACATTATGTAAACTTCTTCGACACTATGGAGTTCATGAGTAGATTGTCAACACTAGCCGGAACACATACGCAGGACTATAGTGTAAAGTGGTGAACAGCTGACAGAAGCATTTCCAGTAAGGACCGGAGTCACACAAGACAGTCTACTCTTCCCCTTCCTCTTTCTTCTGATGATTGACTGGATTATGATGATCTTGACATCTGTAGGGAAGCACGGAATACGATGTACATCTCGGAACCAATTAAACGACTTGGACTTCGCTGATTACCTAGTCATCCTATCCCATACAAACGAACAAATGCAGACGAAGATAACTAACGTGGCAGCAGCCTCTCCGTCAATAGGCCTCAACATACACAAAGGAAGAAGCAAAATTCTCAAATACAACACGGAGAAGGCCAAGCGAATCACACTTGATGGCGAAACTCTGGAAGATGCGGAAAATTTCGTGTACTATCAAGTAATAAAGCGAAACACTCTCTCATTAACAACATAAAAGAGAATAGTTATAAAAGATGATTGTTAACTATCACAAAAAGACTAAGTTTGGAAATAGGAAATTCCGACACAGACTTCCAAATGACTTGTGATGTGGGTCGATTTGAGTCGTACAGATTCAGTCCATAATCATACATGTATATATCGGTAAATGTTTTAGAAACTATTCCACATAGTAAAATGTCAAATATTTTTCACTCAGAATGATAGTTATTCGGTGCTTACTCTTTATTAGGCTTTTCCTGTACTACTCATTTGTATTCAATAGTTTGAGTTAGTTTCATTATTTGATTTAAAGTCCTCCATGTGCAATTCGTATTATTCGTTCATAGCTTATCTTACTTAGTACAGTAATTTATCCACTTCTGATCATTCAATCTTATTTGTTTAGGCTGATTTGCGCATCATCACTTATTTTGGAAACTGTCTAATTTTGAACGTTGTGATTAATCTACTTCTATTAGTCAGTAATGTTTCTTCTTGTCAAAATCGAGTACCGTTTTCTGACTGGAATTTATCATTGACAGTGTGGGTTGGAGAATGCTGGTCGGCGGACTATGCTTCATTTAGAGTAACAGGCGTAAGTAACTAAGTAAGTAATCTTGTTTAGAGAAAGTGTTCTTCTTTTAAAATCAGGAATGCTTGCATTAACAATAAAACATACTCCAATAATAATTCAACTGTAAAATTTGTTTTGTTAAGTCATAATTAAAATACCAAATGACTACTGATTACTTAATTCCTTGTTTTATGATATTTGAATAGTCATTGTATATTTTTCTTTTGCTTGGTTAAAGTAGAGATGCAAAGGATGAACGGTAAAGTAACTGAAATTATCGAATGTATCAATGGATTATACACTTGTCCACGAAATGATTGTTGAAATCAATGAGACTGTGAATACATAGGATATCTATTTATGTTGTCATTATAAAAAATGAATGACAAAGTTAAATTTGATAATGTGAATAAATTATTTACTTACTAACTCACTAACTAACTTTCTAACTTACTTACTCACTTACATACTTACTTACTTACTTACCTACGTCTGTTACTCCTAATGGAGCATTGGCCGCCGACCAGCATTCTCCAACCCATTCTGTCCTGGTTATTCCTATCTAGCCCTATCCAATTTTTGTTCATTCTTCTCATATCTGTCTCCATTTCTCAGAGTAATGTGTTCTTTGGTCTTCCTCTTTTCCAGTCCCAAACGCGGATAAATGAGGTGGGTTGGGCATGGTGTTAGCGATCCCATCCCGTAGAAAACGAACACGCTAACCAGAAAAATAATTCAAACCATTTGAATAAATTACATACATGGAAATAGTTGTGAATTATGACAGAGATTTACCGGCAAAACATCATTGGAACTGGATTAATATAATATCGGAAATCAGAAATGTGAACTATCGGTACTCAACACATTTATGTAAAAATTAAGTGCTGAATGCACTGCCTCAAAATCCTAGATTCCAGTCAAAATATGTCATGACTATGAAAGGAAACATACTGAAACGAAATGTTGTTGAGAAGATTGAAGAAATAGAAAACTATAAATACCCAATTTGTGGAAACTATTTTAAAGGATGAGATCCCAACTTTTTAAAATACCAGTTGGCAGTGAAGAGAAAATTAGGAAAGTACGCCATGTATTGAGGAAATCATTAAACTGCATCACGAGGCAAGTCATAAGTAATTTTTATATTTAGTTGAAATCATGATTCAGTTGAAGCTAGACCACCGTGGAAAACCCGGAAGCACCGTTTCATCCCACCGTGGCACTGCTCAGTAGGACGGAATGGTCGTCCATTGCTTCCAGGTTTTCCACAGTGGTTTACCTTCAATTGACTTATGATCTCAACTTTAAATGAAACTTATAACTTTGAATTTAGAGAAACCTAGGTTTCATTTTAATATGGATTGCAGAACAAAGCTCCATAAATGATTCTGCTTATAGTTAACATGTCAATGAAATCAATCATTCTGGTAAAAAGAGAAAAAACACAAAACAGTAATTTGGCATACACAAATTTCATAGGCTGAAATCAAAAGATTCATATTTAATCTAAGAGAGTATTTGTTTTACAAAAAAATGCATAGTCTGCCAAATCACATTAAAAGAGTACTGGTTGTTTGTTGTTGTGTAAATTGTCTGTAACAATTCGCCTTTTGCTTTGAATTATTATAATCATTATCATGTCTATATCAATTTGTACGCTTGATCACATGTGACAGCCTACACACATATCTCTTTCTAGCTGAAATATAATCGCTCGATCAATCATTCTCTGCCCCACATATATAATATGCCCTCGTATTCACAATTGTTCGATCACTGGGTGGTGATCAATCTCATGCGTGTCAGGTCCTTCTTAGTGCTGATCGAATGCTATCGATCGAGTTGCAATGTGACCACCAGTCTAGGTGGCTCGACACTGCTTGCACTATGTATATTGAGGTATGTATATTGAGGTCAACAGGGTTTCCTGTTGACCACCTCCAGCTACCATCTTACCTCAATGCCCTCGTATCCTACTAATAACCTTTGCCCTACCTTGCTGTGCCATAATTCTATTTGATTACAAATCCTCTTTTGTGTACTGAACGAGAACACGAGTGGAGACAATCGAAAATATTTAGTCACGAAATTACAGAATATCTCAGTAAGATATGTGAACCATATGGTAAATAGTTAATTGGCAAACTATCAATCAATTGTCTCAATGTTGAACGTTCCTTCTGTGAATAACAGTCCATCGTCTCCCAATATTATTGTTCATGCATTTTCATACCAATTGCGTTTCTTTCCGTTCTTTCATTATCCATCTTCTACTGAAATAAATTCAATGCCCGACCACCTTTATATACTACATATGTGGATATAAATAACCCACACCACATTTGTATTCGCTCATTCACACAGGTTAGTCTCTCTGCTCCAGTTCAGTCGATGTGCTTGCAACTTGGTTATCTGTTCAATACTCTAATAAACTGTAGTCACCACTTCTTATTGTTTTCTGAATTCCAACACCGTTAGGACTTATGTAATAACGGTTATCAAGGTGGTTGATTAACGAAGCTCAGCCACTACAAGATAGTTATCTTCATAATTATACGGAAAAACGTATAAGATCAAATATCCGATCATGCATATCAAAAGCTTTTTCTTATTAATTCAGAATATGGATCCGTTAAATTAAAAAAAATTGAATGACTTAACAATGTGATTTGTTTTACCTAGCCTTCATTAGACATAAATTTAGACAACTAGTCTTCACGTTGAACTTTGACGAATACCAAGTTTCCGATATGGCTAAATGTCAGTTCTCTAAAGTCAAATTCGAATCGTAAGTGATCAGAGATTGACTGACTGTATAAGATTGAGCTCTTTACACAGTCACTGATAATAAATAATTGAGAAAGCTACTGTTTGATGTCAGTTACAAGATAAGTAACAGGAGATGATACATCAGACCATTTGTCTTCTATTCATGGATTATTCATAAGTAGAATATATCGTATTCAGGAATTAGTTCAATAGATCTAAGAAATGTGAATGTAGTAGATAACGACAGACTGTGAATCAACTCGACACAGCTAATGAGAATAGAGCAAAACAAATTCAAATCATAATAAAGATACACGTAATGCCAAATAATATTGATCGAGATAGTAGTGAGATAGAGCAGTGTACTTGATGTGTTGGCGAGAATGATAATGATTGATTGTTTTGCTGAGTCAGACATGTAGATAGTGTGACAAGTGTTATATGTGTTATAGATTCCCCTATCCTGATCGTTATTGATAAACTATTCTTGTTGTTGGATTGTGTCAGATTTTGGTGTGGAAATATAATGATATTGTATTCAGGCTAATCTCGTGTTCTTGATCTGAGTTGTGTTGAAGTTCTGTAGAAAAGACACTGGGTAGGAATCCAGTGTAGATATTCGTCTAAGGTAAATTAACGTCTCACATACGTTTAAAAAGTGAAAAGACGGTTATAACAAGAAATCCCAGATGTATAACAAGCATCCTACCGTTTATAACAGTACTATTAACAATATACATCGACAATAAGCAAGAAGTGATGATTGAATTAATTCTGCTTTAAAATGTATTACTTTAACTGATATGAACGAAAAAAGTACATCAATGTTTCAAACACTTAACAAGTGTTGAAGTATCAAGTATATTTGACAAATAAATTCATTTCATTTCCAGGATAATTAATATCTACTTCTCGACTGTTCGCGTTGATTGCAATCTCTACCTTCGTTTTGAACGTTCGTTGACACCCTTTTTTCGCTTTGCGTTAATGGCTTCTGTCCATGTTGTGTATGAGCACGACTAGTTTGTAAACTATTTTGAGGAATATTCTGCATCATTGGGCACATATGACGTGGTTTCACTTCATATGGTTTCTCATTATTCCAATTACCCCTAAAACAATCAACACAATAGAAGTTCAGTTACATTCACTATGAGAATAACAACAAGGTAATTGCAAACAATAACATTTCTTATCACATAATCAACAATCACTTACCCTGGACCATAGTTGCACACGATTGATAGACCGTACCGTGGACATTTCGCAACTCCACATCCAATGTCTGTGGTCTTGGCCCAAGCCATCTGAAACGGAATGTGAACAAGTGAATAATGTGATCGGTCGATCAATTGCAAAACTTTACATTGTGTTTCAATATGATATGTGTAGTTACACTACTTGTAGGTGGAGATAATATTGTCACCTCAAAGAGATACATGTGAAAATTCCAGTATGTGTTCAATGAATATGTTTACACTTAGTGCAGTTATGATAACGAATTGAATTCTACACAATACTCACTCACTCACTCACTCACACACTCACTGACTCATTCATTCTATCTCATGTGGACAGTCGGAATCATCTTACCGATCACAACATCGTGATCTTCCATCTATTCACAATGAATTTCTATTGATTTGCTTCAAATGTTGTCTTCGTGAATAGTGTTGACAGTGTGATTAGCATTTAAATTTGGATTTGAATCCACTCGTCAGAGACAAATTTCCTATCTGTTGTTTTACACTGAATCACCCTACCTCTCAACCAAACATACATACTCAAATATTATCAAGTGTTGTGAATATCTGTGTGTGAATAACTGCAATGATCGGATTACGTGCATTGACATGTCTTGTTGAGTCACATCCATACAAATGTTAAATCACTTCATTGTTATCACACATTCGTTGTGCGTTATTATTATAGGTGTGAAGGGTGAGTGGCACATGACTGTAGGGAAAATTCTATTCAAGTGGATGAGAATGGACTCACTTGTGTGTAATGCAAACATTGAGGACAGTTGTTCGTATTGTAATTGTATAATTTGTGCTCATTGAACCAAGCATCCACTCCTCTGAATCAGAAATCAGTGAATAGAATGTGGATGAGCTTACGACTTAATGGTTGGATGGAGAGCGATATTTTGTCCAACCCAACTGAATTGTTTCGAATATCGTTTGTCATGACGTAAGATGCATTGGTTTGCCAATGATTGTGCTTGTCGAGCTAAATCGTGATTCCACTTCTACAAATAAACGTTACGTGTTTGATATTTGAAGAAGTGATTGAATAGTAACTTACCAATGGTGACATATATTTAGCTGGTGGTTGTCCATCAACTTTACAGTCAACTAAATCCTGTCTGTATTTTCTATGCAGATTGAGCAACTCTTCACTTTTCGCATCTAATCCACCGTTTGCATAAATCATATTAACAAGAATCATTAGTATGTGTACGACAAGTGTAACATTCTTTTCACGTAAGAACATTATGATAGTTTATTCTATTCTGTTTGTGGCTTTTCGAATAGTTCATGTATAGTTCATGTATATATATCCATATCTGTATGTCATTCAGTTTTCCTGCACTACTTAATTAACGTTCTTTCACCTGTGAGTAGCATATTCTTTCTTCCCAACACGTGTTGCTCAATAATAATCACTGGTTGAAGAATGTTTGATTTACGTCCACTTTGAATAACCGTTTTATAATAAAGCAGTAGTTACATGAATATTAATAAATGTCAATTAAATGATATAATCATAGGTTGGAATGTAAAATTTATTTCAAGTTGGAATGATTGAAACTTCCATAGTTTGCAAAAATACTCACTTCGATTTGGATCACATTACAAATTTATTCAAAATTGAGTTAGTTTTCGTAGACGCTTCCCCCTTCTGTTGAGACATTCCAGTACTGAGCTGAAAAATTGTCAAGAATTAAAATTGTTTTTTAGTGCTTCATTGATTAATAACAATTTGCAGTTTGAAAAGTCAATTACACGTTGTGCATAGTAATGGATCGATTGAAGTTGGACAATAACACCGTTTGATTCCACCTCAGTGGTCTATAGATTAAACATTCGCGTGCGATACCTAAGCTTCTGAGTGTGAGTCATTCGTGAGAGATCGTGGAAGTGCACTGCTCTGGAGTCACATAATAGAATGAAACCAATGTCGAACATTGCTTCCATGTTCCTAATGGCAGTCTATCATAGATCGACTTATGAAATAAACTATTACAGTACTACAATCTCCACAAATCAATATTCTGATGAATTTATTTCAGTTGAAATATTGCAAAGTGCCATAAGTATCATCAATTTTAATGAATAAACAAAATCCGTCAGTAAATCAGTCAACCGAATGTCAGTCACTTGCCGCAGATTTTCTTGTGTTCCGATTGAAATTCTCTATACACAGACATTGAATGAGTTGTGTGAACCTAATTAAAAATAACCACATTAAATCTAATGTCTGTCTTATGTGATCCAGTGAGTCCTTTCATACAACCGATTATTGACATTTATCAATGACATCAATCAACCGATCACATTGCTTGCTAGTTTGTCTAACGGAATTTCAGAACATTGAGTTTAATTACAGTTGATGACCTTGATATCTATCTGTCTATCATGGTGTACTATCACAGATTGACATAACAATTTCCTCACCTGTACATTATGTAGTTGGTGTAATTTCGTCAACCATTCTATTGTTCTCTTAACGAGATCAGAATTTCGTACTTTCGTTATGTGATATCGTAAGACGAAACAACTATTCAACCCTCCACACTTTGAATCGTATTGATATCAATCCAGAGTGAATTCAAACAAATGCTTTTTCATTATCAATCAAGGTGATAATGATTAATATTGACGAAAGAGAAAGTTAGACTTATGTAAATTGCTTAAATATATAAACAACAAACTTTTCAACATAAAGGAATTTACGATATGAAACTATCAAAGTGTAAAGGATGTTCAAATTTGTCGCTTTTATTTACCTCATTACACAGATGATTACTTTCATATGGAAACTAAAGTTTCCTCAAATCAAACAGATTTAGATATTCACTTAGTATTGATGACGAGTCTCAAATAGGATGAAACGCGCGTCCTGGATTCCACTGACTACCCACTATCCATTTTCGCTTGTAAATATTTAGATAAATTTAAACAAATTAATATAAACATAACCAACACATGATAACTGATATTAGGTATATAATAGAATGTTAGAATGAGAACTTTATTGAAGTGTTCTTAAACTGTTTTTTTAATATTAGAATTTTTATCCATTTGGAGAGTGAGTGAACTGTGTGGCATCAACCAACACACTGAGTGGTTGTACTGACAGGGAGTGTGGATTTGGAATATGAGAATAGAGTGTGGAAAATATGGAACGCTTTACGATTTCGCGTGTCATCCTTGCTCAGGAGTCATGCTAATCTACTCTGTATCGTTCCAATTCTACTATTAGCTCTTAGTTTTGAAGGTATTTCAAATAACTTTCTAAATCTGTCCAGATATCTGTATTGTTATTAGCTAGTATCGTAGAAACTGACTATCAGTTATGTATTCATTACATTTCTTTTATAATATGAAATGTACTCATAACGTAGATCATATAATAAAGTGCCTTGATACTGTACACATTCAAATCTATGAAAATGACAATCAAGATTAATTGTGAATATGCTTAAAACTTGTTGTTATTATTATGTCACCTGTCTAATATCCTTTAGATTCATGTATCGTGGTATGGCTTTTCACCTTTTCATCCCTCTGATCTACAATATGTTAAATAACTTCTCAGCCTTTTCCCTTCAGTCTATCTAATGAATTCATGAAAAACTCAAAGTATGTTGATTAGGTTATAAATTCAAACACAAAAGCTATCTTGCTTTGAACTAATGCATCTTCCATCAATATTGTTTACATATTAAGGTAATCTTTATCTAAGATCATCGTTTTGATGACTAATGTATAGTGAAAATATTCTTCATATATCCTTAGTGATAGAGGATATACACTGAAGTCACTCGTGAATTGAAATAATAAACTTGTATTGTAACAGGTGTTATCAGCAGTCACAAAATGTCGGGGAAGACCTGAGACCACAACACACAATGTTAGCTGAGAACTTCACATTAGGAGAGAACATGGGATGGAAGCCTAGTTTCTCTTATTTTCGAAAATTAAAATTCGGGTGCCATGTACAAAAAGAGAAGCTAGTTAACAAAATAGTCTTATGAGTCATCTCGTAAGTTCAGTGCATTCAGAGCTTGCTCGTCTTCTTCTGAAGCGTTTATCCTTGGTCACTGTGCAATAGAAAGAAAACACAATTCGTTGACAACATCATACATGATGATTTGGACACCATTACAATATGAGTGAAATTACAAAAAAAACACTTTTTGTTCGTATTGTCGAATCGACTTCACCTAATCGGAGTGCATGTATAAAGAATAATAAAATAGTTTACATATTAAATAATTATAGTTTAGTGCAAGTTATCATATTGAATAGATTTCTACAATTGATTAACATCCAGAACTCAAAGCAGCCGTCCGTCATCCAACACCGAAGTCAGAAGTTTCATTACAGACCTCAGAATATTTTTATTACACGAGGCTGAAACCTGGAGGACTATCATAACTATCATCAAAGGGTACAGTTAATTATAAACAGATATCTACGCAACACATTGCCTATCCATTGGACAGACACAATAGGCAACAACCTAATGTGTCCGAGAACAGACCAGGATCCAGCGGGACAGGAAATTAGAGGGAAACGCTGATGATTGTCAGGACACACATAGTGGAAATCATCAGACTGTACCGTGAAGCAAGCGCTAACTTGGAAGCCTGGTGATAAAAATAATGGAGTGAGAAACAAGAGCACATGGTGTTGGGAATCAGAGGCAGTCATCAAACGAACTGATAGCATATGGTAACAGTTGCGAGGAAAATTCCAAGGACAAATTGGCTAGATATTTCGTAGTCGTCAATCCATGCTCCACGTGAGATAACTGGTGAAATAATAATAAACTGAACATAATTTGGGAACAGTAAATCGTACAGTAATAATTCATAGATCAAAATGAAGCTTATGATAAGATAAATATAGATATACACAACCTAATTACTCAATAGTTAGACAATAAGAATACATATAGAATAATCGTCTATTAATAGGTCCCGGAAGTTATCTGTATTTATTTTTTCAATCGCATATAAAAATACGGTCTTCATAGCAGCCATGGTACCTTGATACAACGAAGGAGTAATCCATGTTAGGTGCTGAACGCAAGATGTGACTTTGAATTTAGTTGTTGGTCGCACCATTCACGTCCAACTCCACTAGGTCCACAATCACTAGGCATAGACCGTCTACGTTGGTGATCTACAACCTCTACTTGTTTCAGTATCCTTCCATCCTCCCATTAACCCTAATGGAACAATTGTATTTTCATGCTAATTATATGAGAAAAATGAAGATCAAATTCTCAATTCAATAGACAACTTATGAATAGTCTTCAGATTATATTTTCACAATGTTAGACACAATTTAATAGTGTTACTACAACTAACTAGTTGAGTATCGCATGCTTGAGAATCACGAATTATCAAATTGAATTAAGCTAGTTTTCTTTTGTCAACTTGATACACTTTACACTAACCGTTTTGAATCAAAACTATTGTATTCGATAATGAAAAGTATTACTTATACTTGAACTCCATGAAAATTTACGTATTCCTTTGGTAACAATGGTTCGGTCGTATACATGTTAAAATCAGTATTTGGTAAATGAAACACAGCTACGTTTGAAATCAGGAATGTATCAGATGCGGTCAATGTCACTATTCATTCTATATAACATGTAGTCTTCCAATTGCATGTAAAACACCAATGAAATACATGAATAGTTCACTACTGAAACTTTTCAATTGTGCTGTCGCGTACTTGAAATGAGAATAGTTATGATATAATATTAAAGTTCTATAGGTGGTTCGAAGAAGTACATCGATGGCAAATTAGTTTACAAACGGGAATTCAATCACATTTACAACAAAATTATTTAACGTGTTTTTGTTCTACTATCAATACTTCATAAAACGAAACTATTTACTATAAAAAGAAAGCAATTCAATCAAATACCCTCTCGAACAATGTTAATCAATCCTCTTCGAAACGTTATCCAGATGGTTGTAAAAGAGTCCTTAATAATCATATGAATTCATTGTTATGATTCACTGTGTAAATGCGTTCGAACGGCAAATTCAAATTAGTTATTGCAAGCAAACAATAAATAATCTTCTTTATTCAGAAATGATTTGTGATAAGCACATATCAGTAGTAGCTGATATGCATTTGACAGATGGTTGATTGGCATTGACGTGCACGTTTCTGTGCCCAAATTATTTTGTGTCACTAACGTCTTGATTCTTGATCATAGATACACCAGAGAATCGATATGGTGTT